TTTGTGCTGCTCGCGCTAGTGGTCGCGGTTCACGTCAGCGTCCTCCTCCTGTCCCTGGCACGCACCGGATGTCTTTACGTCTGTCTACTGCTCCTCTGCGTGCCCCTTTGCCTTCTCCTCCTGAGTCCTCTCTTCCTGCGCTTGCCGACCCGGAGTCGGACTCTCTTCGTGCTGCCAGTCCTACTGTCACGCGTCTTCTTGCTACTGTTGTCACTGACCCCTCTTTTGAGTCCACTGCTGCGTCTGCTCTTGTTGCTGAGCTCGTCGACTTTGCTGCTCGCTGTCGTCTAGACTACGCTGCTAGTCTTGTTGCTGAGTCTGCGTCTGTCTGTCCTCCGTCCGTCGGGGGTGAGTGTGCTCTTGGCACGGACGTCCTTGAGGACAGGCAGGAGGAGTTCCAGTGTCTGGCTGCTGCTTCACCTCATCTCATGTCTGTACTGCTTGCCCCTGAGGGAGACCCGGATGCACTAGACATCCCGACTCCGCGTTCTTACGCGGAGGCCGTAGACGGTCCCTACTCCTCTCAGTGGCAGGCAGCTATGGATGCAGAGATGGCTTCCTGGAAGTCCACAGGCACCTACGTTGACGCGGTTCCCCCTCCTGAGGCGAACATCGTCAGTGGCATGTGGATCTTCAGGGTGAAGCGGCCACCTGGCTCTCCACCTGTCTTCAAGGCGCGGTACGTCGCTCGTGGCTTCAGTCAGCGGCAGGGAGTTGACTACTTTCAGACCTTCTCTCCCACCCCAAAGATGACCACTCTTCGGGTGCTGCTGCACATAGCCGCTCAGCGCGACTACGGGCTTCACTCTCTTGACTTCAACACTGCTTTCTTGCAGGGCAGCCTGCACGAGGAGATCTGGCTGCGCCGTCCACCTGGCTTCACTGGGACTTTCCCTCCTGGCACCCAGTGGAGCCTCCGACGGCCAGTCTACGGTCTCCGCCAGGCACCGCGTGAGTGGCACGATACACTGAGGACTACGCTTGCGGCTCTTGGGTTTGCTCCCTTTACTGCTGACCCGTCGTTGTTTCAGCGCACCGACACTTCTCTGCCGCCGTTCTACATCCTCGTGTACGTCGACGACTTGGTCTTTGCCACAGCTGACACTGCTGGACTCGCCTACGTGAAGTCCGAGCTGCAGAAGAGACACACGTGCACAGACCTGGGTGAACTGCGCAGCTACCTTGGCTTGCAGATCACTCGGGACAGAGCACGCCGCACCATTACCTTGACTCAGTCACACATGGTGCAGCAGGTCCTTCAGCGCTTCGGCTTCACGTACTCCTCGCATCAGGCCACTCCTCTGGCTACTCGCCACTCGCTCTCAGCTCTGCCTTCGGATGAGTCCGTAGAGTCGAGTGGCCCGTACCCAGAGCTTGTTGGCTGCCTCATGTACCTGATGACCTGCACACGACCTGACCTTGCATACCCTCTTAGCATTCTTGCACGCTATATTGCTCCTGGGAGACACCGACGAGAGCACATGGCTGCAGAGAAGAGGGTGTTGCGCTACTTGTGCAGTACGTCGGGCATGGGGCTAGTGCTTGGAGGGCGGAGTCCAGTGGTCCTCTCTGGCCATGCGGAGGCTTCTTGGGCTGACGACCAGGCTACGCAGCGGTCGTCGCAGGGGTACACCTTCAGTCTTGGTTCTGGCTCTGTCTCGTGGCGGGCTACTCGCTCGTCTTCTGTTCTCGGCTCCAGTTGTGAGGCTGAGATCTACGCCTGGGGCCATGGCTGCACAGGAGCTTCGGTGGCTCACCTACCTGCTGACTGACCTTGGAGAGCTGCCTCATTCTCCTCCAGTGCTGTACGTAGACAACAAGGCCATGCTGGCCTTGTGTCGAGAGCAGCGCTTGGAGCACAGAACGAAGCACATTGCTCTCCACTACTTCCTTGCTCGTGGTTAGTTGCGACTTGCGTACGTGGCCTCTGAGGCCAACACTGCTGATGTTTTCACCAAGGCACTTCCGCCTTGTGATCATCAGCGCTTTTGCACTCAGCTGGGACTTGTACCTGTCTTACCTCACTTTCTCACCTCTTGACCTTGCTTGTACTCTTGCATATATATATACCTGTTCTTGCTTGTTTAGCCTTATATATATATATGTCTCCTCTTGCATGTGAACTGGCCTTGTGGCCTTGACCTTGTGCTCGGACTGTGTGGTGACTTTGTGATCCACCCTGAGCTTTGCTTTGCTTTGCTTGACTGGTCTTGTGACCCCTTGTTCTCCCCCACTTTGCCTATGGGGGTGTGTCAGAACATTATAGCTTATGCTTTTGTGTAGGCTATAGTGGGGTATCCCATAGGGGGTACAACCCAATTAGGGTTGGTACTTGTACTCACTCATTGTCATAGTTCATTCATTCGTGTTCTTTCTTTCCACATTGTTGTGGGGTGGATACTATGGGGTATGATGACTTAAGGGTTTCCTACTTGTACCCCACACTTTTCTTAGTCCAACCACTTTTCATTCTAACATGGTATTAAGAGCCTAGGTTAGTGACCTAGGACCACTTACCTAAGGGCCCACCGATCCGCTACAGGTGCCCTTGTGCGCCCTACCGTCTTAGCGCCCTTGAGCGCCTCTCTCCTAGTGCGCCCTCGCGCGCCCTCTTCTCACGCTGCTCGTTTTGCAGCCCGCTAGCAGCCCGAGCGCGACCCCGCCAATTTTAGCGCGCGTAGCCAATTCGCCGCCTAGGGCGGTCCGATTTTTCTCGCGCGCGCCAGTAGGCCGTCGCCCGTAGGCCCCGCTCGCCCCTAGGCCGACGCTCGACCCACCGCCGCCCGCCCGCGGGTCGCAGCCCGCGCGCAACGGCGATCGCGCGTCGGCTGCTGCACCTCACGCTTAGCTGCTGCACGAACGGAGCTGCGGCCCGCGCCCAGCCGCACCCTAGGCGCCGCCGCGCACCGTGCATAGGCCCGCCGTCGCGCCGCCCTACCTGCCTGAGCCGCGCCGCCCGAGTCACGCCGCCCGAGTCGCGCCGTCCTGACCAAGCCACGCCGCCCCACCTGCAGCAACTGGTGTTACTATTCCCACTGTTACAGCTGCTCTTACTGCTACAGCTGCTACTACTACTGCTCTTACTACTACTACTGCTGCTGCTACTACTACTACTGGTACTGCTATAGCTGCTACTGCTACTGCTCTTACTGCTACTAGTGCTACTGCTGCTACTGCCACTATGGCCAGTCCTACCGTTCTCACTTTTGACTCTGAGGGCCGTCCGATTAAGTTTGACGTTTGGCTCGATGACCTGCACCTGTTCCTCCAAATCACTGCCAAGGACGATGTTTCCCTGTTTGACCACACGTCCGGCGCTGCTCCCGCACCTGCTGCTACTACTGACAGCATTGCTCGCTCACAGTGGCAGACCCGTGACGCTCATGCTCGCCTAGCCGTTCGCAGCCACCTACCGTTAGATGAGAGCGAGCGCTTTGGCCAGCATAAGATCGCTAAGGAGTTGAACGATGTTGTAGTTGCACGCAACTCCTCCCCTGCTACTGCTGCGAAAGGCCGTCTCTCACTGCCCTATCTCTTCCCCGATCTGTCTGCTTTTGCCACTGTAGCTGACCTCATCACGCACCTCCGTACTAGTGATCTTCGCTACCGTGCGCACTTCCCCCCGATTTTCTAGCCAAGAACCCTCCCCCGATGTACCTCACACTCTATCACCTAGTCACCCGCCTCCCTGACTCTCTTCGCACTGTCAGGGACCACTTTCTCGCCCTCTCCCCTACCGAACTCATTGTCAACCTGCTCGAGAAGGAGCTCCTAGCAGTGTCAAACTCATATTATATAGCTTGTGTAGGCTATTGTGGGGTAGACACTATGGGGTAGAGTTTCCTAGGGTTTCCTACTTGTACCCAACTTTTTGCTAGTTCATTCATTCCGCAATTCTCACATGGTATAGAGCAGGTTCCCTAGTGGGAACTTCCTAGGGCCCACAACTGAACATCGATTATTTTTTTTTCCTGCTCTGAGATCGAGTCGCTCCTAACCGAGGCGCGCCCTGTGTGCCGCCCTCCCCTTAGCAACCCATCGCGCCGCCCTCAGCGGCCCTCCCCCTCTCTCACGGCCCCTCGCGACCCCGTCGCCGCCCTCCTAGCGACCCGTCGCGCCGCCCTCACCGGCCCCTCCTCCACGGCCCCGACGGCGCCCTATCGCGGCCCCGTCGTCGCCCGCTCGCGGCCCCGTCGTCGCCCGCTCGCGGCCCCGTCGCCGCCCTATCGTGGCCCTATCGCAGCCCTATCGTGGCCCCGTTGCCGCCCTATTGCGCCCCCGTCGCCGCCCTCTCGAGGCCCCGTTGCCGCCCTATCGCGGCCCCGTCGCCTCCCTCTCGCGGCCCCATCGCCGCCCGTAGCGGCCCTGCAGCCGCCCCTAGCCGCCTCGTCGCCGCCCTCTTGCGGCCGCGTCGCCGCCCTCTAGCGGCCCCCGTCGCCGCCCTCTTGCGGCCTCGTCGCCGCCCCTCAGCGGCCCCGACGCCACCTCCTACGCGGCCTCGACGCCGCCTCTACCGAGCCGCCCAGCAGCAGAGCCGCCGAGCCGCCCGACAGCCGAGCCGCCCAGCAGCCGTGCCGCTGAGCCGCTACCAGTCCTATCGACACTCCCCGGCCCTACTTACTCGTACTGGTGAGCCCACTCCTTGCTAGACCTCTGCAGTCATGGCTACCCCCAGTGTTCTTATCTTTGACAGTAAGGGCCGTGCTGTTGACTTTGAGGTCTGGGTCGATGACCTCCAGCTGTTCCTCTAGTGCGATAGGGCAGACGGCCTCTCTCTGTTCGACCTCACCTCTGGTGCCTCCCCTGCCCCGCCTGCTACTGCTAACAGCACTGTTCGGTCACAGTGGGCGACTCGCGATGCTCCTGCCCGTCTTGCTGTGCGTCGCCACTTATCGACCACTGAGCGTGCACACTTTAGCCAGTACAAGAGTGCTCAGACCTTGTACGACGCTGTAGTTGCACGCTACTCTTCCCCTGCCACTTCTGCACTGAGCCGCCTCATGCTACCGTACCTCTTACCTGACCTTGCTGCCTTTCCCACAGTCGCTGAACTCATTACGCACCTCCACACTAGTGACACTCGCTACCGCGCTGCGCTTCCTCCTGAGTTCTGCGCCAAGAACCCCCCCCCCCCCATGTACATCACCCTCTACTACATAGTCACCCGGCTCCCTGACTCTCTCCGCGTAGTCAGGGACCACTTTCTCTCTGTTTGCCCCACGACTCTCACCGTTGACCTCCTCGAGAAGGGCCTCCTAGCAGCATAGAAGAGCATAGTTGATGTAGGAGCCTCTCGTGGTGACCCTCGCACCCCCGTCTTTGAGGGGTGTTCCCCCTCCCCCCTCTTGCCCTCTGTTGCTTCTCCTGCTGCTGCCGACCTCGTTCATTTCTACGGGGTCGGCGCTGCGTCTGCCCCTAGCGAGAGACGCCGCACCGGCAAGGGCAAGGGGGGCAAGGGAACTAGAGGGGCTAGCGGGGGCGGTGGAGGTGGTGGTGGAGGCAGTGGAGGGAGTGGGGGTGGTGGTGGGAGTGGTGCCGGGGGTGGCGGCGGCGGCGGCAGCAGTGGAGGCGGAGGAGGCGGCGGTGGTGGCGGAGGGAGCGGAGGCGGCGGAGGTGGCGGAGGAAGCCGGAGGTGGAGGAGGCGGTGGAGGCGCCGGGGGCAGCGGTGGTGGAGCGGGTCGCGACTCTGCACAGAGGAGTGGGTCAAGTGGTGGTCCGCGCTAGCTGCAGCAGCGTGGTGTGACCCTGTCCCCTCAGCAGCTTCGTGAGTGGTACGCTGCACGTCAGCACGGTGGGGGCACTGGTCCCTACACTTACGTCCTCCGCACCGGTGACCGAGCTGGTGAGCAATGCGGGGGCCCGCACTCTACCCAGCGCTGCTTCGGCCGCCTAACGGACGCGTGGCGTCACCAGTTCCTTGAGGCGTCAGAGATCCCTCGCTGGGGAGATCTGTCTAGGGCGGGGGTTGCCATCTTTGATCTTGACTATGATGCTATCCTTGCTGCCATGAATGCCGTGACTACTAGTGTTGAGGGTGACTGTTACCTGTGTGTACCGCCTGACCCGGGCATTGTGGCCACTGCTCTAAGTGCTAGTGCGCCTCCCGCCCCAGGTGCTAGTGCGTCTGCTGCCCCAAGTGCTAGTCCGTCTGCTGCCCCAGGTGCTAGTGCGCCTGCTGCCCCAGGTGCTAGTGCGTCTGCTGCCCCAGGTGCTAGTCCGTCTGCTGCCCCAGGTGCTAGTGCGTCTGCTGCCCCAGGTGCTAGTGCATCTCCTGCCTCAGGTGATGGTGAGTTTGCTCTCTCAGGTACTATGTCGGCTCAGGCCTTACACACCTTCACCCTTGACTCGAGTGCGTCCCGCTCCTTCTTTCGAGACTGCACCACTCTTACGCTGCTCACTCGGCCGGTTGCACTCTCCCTGGCGGACCCCTCTGGGGACCCTGTCCTTGCTAGCTTCTCCACTGTCTTACCGTGCCTGGCAGCCGTCTCTGGCACCCTGTCAGGTCTCTACCTCCCCTCGTTCTCTACGAACTTGGTGAGTGGAGCGGACCTACAGGATAGGGGTGTTGACCAGTTCACTCCTGCGAGTCAGCGGGTGACCCACTGCACGTGTTCTCGGACAGGCCGACACTTGGCCACGTTTACCCATCGGCCTGGGTCGAGCCTGTACACCCTTACTGCTGAGTCTCCTGAAGCTGCTGAGTCTCGTCAGGTAACTGCGTCGAGTCAGGTGTTTGCTGCAGCGTCCAGGTCTTGTCCTGAGTCTGCTCCCTGCTCGTGTCGTCTCCTGTCCCACTAGACTCTCCTTTGGCACCACGGCCTTGGTCACCCCTCCTTGCCTCGTCTCCGAGGCATGGCCTCCTGCTCCCTGCTCGTGTCGCTCCCTGTTGCACACGACTGTCCTCTGCACCACCGCCTTGGTCACCCTTCAGTGCAGCGCCTTCGTGGCATGCACTCTCAGTACCTTGTCTCTGGTCTTCCCAGGGTTCTCCCTCCACTCCCACCCTCGCATGCTCCTCCTTGTCTTCCCTGTGTTGAGGGGCGGCAGCGCGCCACTCCTCACTCTTCCTTGTTCCCTCCCACAGAGGCTCCTCTGCAGACTCTTCACCTGGACGTGTGGGGCCCAACCCGCATCCGTTGACAGGGCCATGAGCGGTACTTCTTGCTGGTTGTCGACGACTACATGCGCTACCGGTCTTCCCCTTGCACAGCAAGGGTGAGGTCCCTGATGTTTTGATCCCTTGGATCCGCACTACTCGTCTCCAGCTCCGCGACCGGTTCCACTCGGACTTTCCAGTCCTGCGTGTGCACTCTGACAGGGGTGGTGAGTTTTCCTCCCACCTCTTGGCAGTCTACTGTGCGGAGCACGGAATCCGCCAGACGTTCACTCTTCCGGCCTCTCCACAGTAGAATGGGATTGCTGAGCGCCGCATTGGCTTAGTCATGGAGGTCGGTCGTCCCTCCATGATCCATGCGGCTGCCCCCCATTTTCCGTGGCCATTTGCAGTACAGTACGCTGCGCATCAGCTTAACCTCTGGCCCCGTGTCTCTGCTCCGGAGACCTCACCCACACTGTGTTGGACGGGGAAGGTTGGCGATGCGTCGGTGTTCCGAGTCTGGGGATGTCGAGCCTTTGTTCGCGATACGACCGCGGACAAGCTCTCCTGCCGTGCCGTTCCCTGCGTTGTTCTTGGCTTTGTCCCTGACGCGCCTGGCTGGCAGTTTTACCACCCCACCTTGCGCCGTGTCTTCCCCTCTCAGGACGTCACTTTTGACGAGTTGGTACCCTTCTACCGTCTGTTCCCCTACTCACTGCGCCTCTCTTCTTCACGCCAGGTGCTTCTTCGGTAGACCCCCTCCCTCCCCAGGGTCTTGCTCCCTCAAGTGTTTCCCAGGTAGACCCGGTCGAGCCTGTCGAGGTAGCTGTCAACTCTGGTCCTGCGAGGGGTACGGCGTCTGGGGGTGCTGAGACTGGGGGTGCTGAGCCTGGGGGTGCTGAGATTGAGGGTGTTGAGCCTGGGGGCGCTAAGCCTGGGGGTGCTGAGCCTGGGGGTGCTGAGACTCGGGGTGCTGAGCCTGGGGGTGCTCACCCTGGGGGTGCTGAGCCTTGGGTTGCTGAGCCTGAGGGAGCTGAGACTGACGGTCCTGCGCCTGGTGACGCTCCCTCTTTACACCAGCTGCATGAGTGGTACTCTCAGTGTTACAGCCTCTGGCGTGGGGCTGCTGGAGCTGCGGGTTCTGCCGGAGTTGGAGCTGGTAGTGCTTCGGGTACTGTGTCGCAGCCGGCGCCTCCCTCCCCACAGCGTCAGCGTGAGTGGTATGCTCGCCGCTGCAGCCTCCAGAGAGGCGCTCCCAGCACTGGGGTGCCGCTCGCTGGAGGCCCTGGTGCGGTTGGAGGTACTGGAGCCTTAGGTCCTGGAGGTGCTCGTACAGGCGGTACTGAAGCTACTGGGACTGGGGGTTCTGGTGGAGCTGGAGCTGCTCGAGCTGGTTATACTGGAGGTGCTGCTGGTGCTGGAGTTGGAGCTACAGGTGCTGGCGCTGCTGGAGCTGCTGATGGAGCTCAGGACGCTGGGCCTACTGGAGTTGGTGTAGCTGCTGACCCAAGGGGTTGTCTTGCAAGTGCTAGAGCCGACGGTGCGGCTGGAGCTGGTACCACTGGGGGTACTAATGCTGGCGCTGCCGGAGCTGTTGGTAGTGCTACAAGAGTTGGAGCTGCTGCTGGAGGTTCTGGTGCTGTCTCTGCTAATTCTGGGGGTGCTTCACGGCCGCGGCCGTACTTCGTTCCGCTCCTTCAGCAGGTTCCTGGTCAGCCTCCTCCTCCTTGTCCTACTCCCTCCTTAGAGTGTCCTCAGCCTGTCCAATCACAGTTATAGTTACAACCTGCCTCGCCCCTCCCTTGTCCTTCTCCCTACACAGGTCCGACAGGAGGTCTTACGGAGCGTCATGAGCCTGCTTCTCGTCCTGCGTCGCCTATTCGTGCTGCTCGCACTAGTCATCGTGTCCCGCGTCAGCGTCCTCCCGCTGTCCCAGGCACTCACCAGATGACGCTTTGTCAATCCACTGCTCCGTAGCGTGTCCCTCTACCTTCTCCTCCTGCGTCCTCTCTTCCTGCCCTTGCTGACCCGGAGTCTGACTCTCTTCGTGCTGCTAGTCCTACTGTCACGCGTCTCCTCGACACTGCTGTCACTGACCCTTCCTTTGAGTCCACTGCTGCGTCTGCCTTAGTTGCTCAGCATGTCGACTTTGCTGCTCACTGTCGTCTAGACTACGCCGCGAGCCTTGTTGCTGAGTCTGAGTCTGTCTGTCCTCCGTCCGTCAGGGGTGAGTGTGCTCTAGGCACGGACGTCCTTGAGGACAGGCAGGAGGAGTTTGTATCGTTTGCCGCTACTGTACCTCATATCATGTCCATGCTGATTGCACCTGAGGGAGACCCGGATGCACGAGACATCCCAACCCCGCGCTCTTACGCTGAGGCGATCGCGGGTTGAGTACTCCTCTCAGTGGCAGTCAGCCATGGACGCAGAGATGGCATCCTCGAAGTCCACTGGCACTTACGTCGACGAGGTTCCCCCTCCTGGGGCGAACATCGTCAGTGGCATGTGGATTTTCAGGGTGAAGCGGCCGCCAGGTTCTCCGCCTGTCTTCAAGGCTCGTTACGTTGCTCGAGGCTTCAATCCGCCAGAGGGAGTAGACTTCTTCTATACCTTCTCCCCCACCCCAAAGATGACCACTCTTCGGGTGCTACTGCACGTTGCCACTCAGCATTACTACGAGCTTCACTCTCTTGACTTTAGCACAGCTTTCTTGCAGGGCAGCCTGCACGAGGAGATCAGGCTGCGCCGCCCTCCTGGCTTGACTGGGTCGTTCCCTCCTGGTACCCAGTGGAGCCTCCAGCGGCCGGTCTACGGTCTTCGCTAGGCGCCACGTGAGTGGCATGACACACTGAGGACTACACTTGCAGCTCTTGGGTTCACACCTTCTACTGCTGACCCGTCGCTTTTTCTGCGCACCGACACTTCGCTGCTGCCGTTCTACATCCTCGTGTACATCGACGACTTGGTCTTTGCCACTGCTGACACTGAGGCTCTCGCCCACATGAAGTCGGAGCTGTAGAAGAGACACATGTGCACAGACCTGGGTGAGCTGGGCTACCTTGGCTTGCAAATCACCCGGGACAGAGCACGACGCACCATCACACTGACTCAGTCACACATGGTGCAGCAGATCCTTTAGCGCTTCGGCTTCACCTGGTCCTTGCCACAGGCCACTCCTCTGGCTACAGGTCACTTGCTCTCAGCTCCACCTTCGGACGAGTCTGTAGAGCCGAGTGGTCCTTACCCAGAGCTAGTTGGATGCCTCATGTACCTAATAACTTGCACTCGTCCTGACCTCGCGTACCCTCTTGGCCTTCTGGCTCGCTACATGGCTCCTGGTCGGCACCTTAAGGTGCACTAGGATGCTGCTAAGAGGGTACTCCGCTACTTGTGCAGTACATCGGGCATGGGGCTCGTGCTTGGAGGGAGGAGCTCAGCTGTCCTCATTGGGCACTTAGACGCTTCTTTGGTTGACGACCAGGCTAGTAAGCGGTCGTCACAGAGTTATACCTTTAGTCTTGGCCCTGGCTCTGTCTCTTGGCGTTCTACACGCTCGTCTTCAGTTCTCAGCTCCAGTTGTGAGGCTGAGATCTACGCCACAGCCATGGCTGCACAGGAGTTACGCTAGCTCACCTACGTGCTGGCCGACCTGGGAGAGCAGCCTCGTTCTCCTCTAGTGCTGTACGTCGACAACAAGGCTGCCATTGCCTTGTGTGAGGAGCACAGATTGGAGCACAGAACAAAGCACATCGCTCTCCGTTACTTCCTTGCTCGAGAGTTGCAGCAGCGTGGTCAGCTTTGTCTGCGTTACGTGGCCACTTGGGCCAACACTGCTAATATATTCACCAAGGCACTTCAATCTGGTGATCATCAGCGTTTCTACACTGTGCTGGGGCTTGTGCCCACTTTTCCTCACTTGTTGTAAGCTTTACTTGTACTGTGATCTCTACATATATATATACCTCCATGCTTGCTTTGCTAGGTAGAGATCATTGTGATGCTTGTGTTACATATGTGCCTCTGCATGTGAACTGACCTTGTGGCCTCTTGCTTGTGCTTGGTCAGTGTGGTGACGTTGTGATCCACCCTGAGCTTGCTTTGCCTTTCTTGACTGGTCTTGTGACCCCTTGCTCTCCCCCACTTTGCCTATGGGGGTGTGTCAAATGTTATATCTGCTACATTTGTTTAGGCTGTAGTGGGGTAGATACTATGGGGTATGATAACTTTATGGTTTCTCACTTGTACCCCACACTTTTCTTAGTCCAACCACTTTTCATTCTAACATCAACATAGATGTTACTATGCTTACGAGTACTCTTAATAGCAAGTACAGAGTGCACGCTATCTCTGATGAAATGTTAGATCGATTTACTTGCAGAGGAATCTGGTAACACGCTTTGAATTCGCGCGACAAGCGTACCATCCGCCGCGTAACCAAGTACGAAATTCGACCGAAACTGTAATGAATATGACTTATTCATTACGGAGTCTGCTCCTAGGGCGTACAGCCCCGAGCACTTTGGGGCACTCTCAAGGTTCGGCCTACACTTCGGCCCGAACCACTGCCGAGTCACCCCTCACCAATCGCGACATTTCCGAGCCACGCACATCTAGAGGTTCTCGCCTAGCTAGTTTTCGCCCTATATATTCTCGCTTTCTTCATTATTTCGTCATTCTGTAATCACGCCTTCTTTAAAAAGTC